GAGCCATACAGGACGTGTGTAGACACTTCACCAATGATACTGAGGCAGCTAACAAACGTGAAGCAATGTTCATGATCATTAGCCATTGTTGTTGTTGGCAAGACCGCGGAGTCGGTTCTGACTCATAGTGACCCTGCACAGGGTTTCTAAGGCTGTAAATCTTTATGGGAGCAGAACACCTCATCTTTCTCCCACAGAACCACTGGTAGTTTTGAACTGCTGACCTCGAGGTTGGCAGCCCAACTCATAACTACTACACTTGTCAAGTGCCATCGAGTTGATTCCGACCCATAGCAACCCTGTTTAGGGTTTCCAAGGAGAAGCTGGTGAGCTTGAACTGCCGACCTTGCAGTTCAAATGTCTTTCCAGTCTGGCACACTAACCCACAGCACCAGACTCCACCTTAGAACAATGCAAATCAAAACAAAAATGAGATATCATCTCACACCAGCATTAATAGCAAACTTCAAAAAAGCAGAAAACAAATGCTGGTGAGGGTATGAAAAGATTGGGACCCTCCTACATTGCTGGTAGAACTGTAAAATGGTTCAGCCACTCTGGAAAACGGTATGGTGCTTCCTCAGAAAGTTGGAAATAGAAATACTATATGACCCAGCAGTCCCTCTACTTGGTATATATCCACAAGAAACAAGAGCCAGGACACCAGTAGATATATGCACACCACTGTTCATCACAGCGCTATTCACAATAGCACAAAGATGGATCCAGTCTAAATGTCCATCAAAGGAAGATTGCATAAACAAACTTTGGTACATACACACAATGGAACACTATGCAGCACTCAAGAATAATGCTGAATCTGCAAAACACCTCATAACATGGATGAACCTGGAGGACATTAAGTTAAGTGAAATTAGTCAATCACAAATGGACAAATATTATAGGAGACCACTATTGTAAAAAGTCAAGAAAAGGTTTTCATAATATGAGAAACATTCTTTCATGGTTACCAGGAGTGGGAGGGAAGGGACAATTATAATTAATTACTGACTGGAAGACAAACATTGTTAACTTAGGTGACAGGGAAAGCAGTTAAGAAAAAGATAAAAATTTTAATTAAAAAATTCCATATTTAAAAATCTACAATAGTCACTAAGGGGCTCTGGTAGTGTAGTTGTATGTGTCGGGCTTCTAATCTTACTGTCAGCAGTTCAAAACTACCAGACATTCCGCAGGATAAAGGTAGGACTTTCTGCTCCCGTGAAGATTTAAAGTCTCAGGAACCCTATGCAGAGTCGCTATGAGTCGGAACAGACTCCAGACACCCCCACAACCACCACCACCACCACCACCACAATTGGCATACAAACGTAAATAAATTGGAAAGACAGTTACCTGACCAACCAACTGAAAGATTCCATTATCCTACACATTCCAAAGAAAGGTGATTAAGTAGAATGTGGAAAGTAATGAGTAGTATCATTAATATCACACACTAGCAAAATTCTGCTGAAAATAATTCAAAAGAAACTGTAGTCATATCAACAGGGAATTGCTGGAAAGACGAGCTGGATTCAGAAGAGGGTGTGGAATGAAGATATATCACTGTGTATGTCAGATGGATCTTGACCAATTCAGAGAATGCCAGAAAGATGTTTGCCTAGGTTTTATCAACTATGCAAAGCCATTGGACTGCATGTATCGTAACAAATTATGAACATAAAGAATGAGAATACTTAATTGTGTTGATTTAGAGCCTAATAAAAGGCAGCTGTTGGGATGGAACAAGGGGATACTGGTGATTTAAAGTCTAAAAAGGTATATGTTGTTGTTAAGTGCCGTCGAGTCGGTTCTGTTCTATAGCAACCCTGTGTAGGGTTTCCAAGGAGTGGCTGGTAAGCTCGAACCACCAACCTTTTGGTTCAAACCGACTTTGCAGTCCAATGCATTAGCCCACAGCACCACACCAGAACTCTGGAAAAGGTCTATAGCAGGGATATATCCTTTTACTTTACTTATACAATCTGTATGCTGAACAAATAATCTGAGAAACTGGACTATATCAAGAAGAATGTAGGATCAGTTTTGGAGGAAGACTCACTAACAACCTGCAATATGGAGAGGACACAATCTTGCATACCAAAAGTGAAGAGGACTTGAAATATTTTTAAAGGAAGGTAAAAGACTATAGCCTTCGTAGGGACAGGGCTAAGGAAAGGAGATGGGGATAAGACTCTTGTGGTACAATAGTGAATAATTGCTATAAGGACTGACTGTGAGAGTCGCAAATGTAAAGGTAGATGTTTTATAAGAAAAGGAGGGGAGTGGTTGATTTTGCAGTCTAGGAGCAGGGGGTCCCTGGGATCATCAAGGGAGAAGAGCGGAGTGTGGGACACTACCCGGGACCCTACCCAGAGAAGCAGTGACGCCAGAAATGGAGGCAGAGACGATGACATGGAGAGATAGAGCAGCTGGGGAGTCTGGACTCAGAGAGGGAGAGGGGGTATGTGCTGATGGCTGGGGGGCAGGCTTGCAGGGTATACTCTTTGGTTGTTTAATGATACATGGAGGGGATTGTAATCATTGCAATGAAACAAAATACAATAGAATGAATGTAAAGCTGGTGTTCTCCCATGTAAACTACCACATAAGTCACAATTAAAAGGTAAAACTAAAAAAAAGTCTATAGCCTTCAATATGGATTACACCTCAACATAAAGAAAACAAAAATCCTCACAACTAGGTGACTAGTGGCAAAAAGTCATTGAGAAGACAAGAAAGAACCTTCTCCTTTTTGCTTTCTTCATGTATGATGTTCTTGATGTCATACCACAACTCTTCTGGTCTTCAGTCTTTAATGTTTAATGTATCAAATCTGTTCTTCAGATGACCTCTAAACTGAGGTGGGATATAGTCAAGGTCATATTTTGGCTCTCCTGGACTTGTTTTGATTTTCTTCAGCTTCAGTTTGAATTTGAATGTGAGTTATTGATGGTCTGTTCCACAGTCTGCCCCTGGCCTTTTTTTGACTGATGATATGGAACTTTTCCATCATCTCTTTAAATCAATGTCAGACCTTGACTATATCCCACCTGAATTTAGAAATCATTTGAAGAACAGATTTGATACATTAAACACTAAAGACCGAAGACCAGAAGAGTTGTGGGATAACATCAAGAACACCATACATGAAGAAAGCAAAAAGTCATTGAGAAGACAAGAAAGAAGGAGAAGGTCAAAAAGGATGTCAGAAGAGACAATGAAACTTGCTCTCCAGTGTAGAGATGCTAAAACAAATGGAAGAATTGAGGAGGTCCAAGAGCTGAACAGAAAATTTGAAAGATCAGCGTGAGAAGGTAAAGCCAATTATTACAACAAAATGTGCAAAGATCTGAAGTCAGAAAACCAAAAAGGAAGAACACACTCAGCATTTCTCAAGCTGGGGGAACTGAAGAAAAAATTCAAGCCTCGACTTTCTTTATTGAAAGATTCTCTGGGCGTATTACTGAATGATGCAGAAAGCATCAAGAGAAGATAGAAGTAATCCACAGAGTCACTCTACCAAAAGAAAATGGTTAATGTTCAACCATTTCAAGAGGTAGCATATGATCAAGAGCCAATGAGACTCAGGGAGGAAGTCCAAAGTGCATTGAAGGAATTGGCAAAGGACAAGGCACCAGGAATTGATAGAATCAAAATTGAAATCTTTCAAGACAATAAGGTAGCACAGGAGGCACTCACTCATCTCTGCCAAGAAATTTGGAAAACAACTATCTGGCTGACTGATTGGAGAGATCCGTATTTGTGCCCATTCCAAAGACAGGTGACCCAATGGAATGCAGAAATCATCGGACAATCTCATTGATATCCCATGCGAGTAAAGTTTTACTAAAAGTAATACAGAAACAGCTGCAAGCATACATTGACAAGAGAACTTTCAGAGGTTCAAACCAGATTCAGAAGAGGCCGTGGAATGAGGGATATCATTGCTAATATCCAATGGATCTTGGCTGAAAGCAGAGAATATCAGAAAGATGTTTACCTGTGCTTTATTGACTATGCAAAGGGTTTTGATTGTGTGGATCATGACAAGCTATGGACAACATTGTGAAGTATGAGTATTCCAGAACACTTAATTGTGCTCATGAGGAATCTGTACCTGGACCAAGAAGCAGTTGTTCTAACAGAACATGGGAACACTGACCAGTTTAAAATTAAGAAAGGTGTGTGACAAGGTTGTATTCTTTCACCATACTTATTCAACCTGTATGCTGAGCAAATAATCCAAGAAGGTGGGTTCTATTAAGAAAAATGTGGCATCAGGATTGGAGGAAGACTCATTAACAACCTGCGATATGCAGGTTATTGCCCTTAGCAACAAATCATTTTCCTTGAAATGACAAGCTGACTTGGTTCATTTAGAAGGGAATGACTGCCAAATGTATCTGCTAGTCATTCTTTCAAGTCAAAATTGTGCTCCATGGAAGAAAAAACTCCCAGTCATCGTGCCATATAAACCAACTCACAGTGCCAACCATCGACTTGTGTACCACACCATGCCAGCTTCCCATTCTATCACTCCGAATATGAGAAGGATTTAGGGTGGAGATCTAATTAAATTCACAGTTTGGGCTGCTTTGTGGAGGATATTCCTAAATTAAACTGGCTTTAAAAAGTTCATGGGACATTCTAAGATCCCCTCCATTCCCCTTTATTTCTTCAGGTGGCTCTCATATCATCAGTGGGGGTGGGAAGTGGGCTTTGCTCCCTGCCAGCTTCCTGATTCTGTCAGAACATCTAGGTCAGGCTCAAAGCTGCCCTACAAGTACTACGTGGAGCACCTTGCTGTTTGCAGCCACCCTAGCCCTTAGCCTGAACCAAAGCTGCACGGCTGTCTATGAGGAGTCACAGGGACAAGTGGGCCCCCATGGGGGGGCCACAGCAAGAAGGACTTGGATCACTCCAAGCTGCCCCCTTCACTGCTCCAAAGACTCTTAGACAACCACTGAGTCTCACTGGATGGGCTGAGCCAGGGCAGCATGGGTTCCAAAGAGTCAACATATCCCCAGAAATGTGTCATGTATGACTTCTTTTTGGGGTTTATGGGCAAGAGGATCATGCAGCCAGATGCTTCTCTTGATGTGAACCAAGAGAACGTCTCCAGCTTTGGCAAGCTCAAGTATCTTCCCAACACAGAGTGGAGCCTATGGGCAAGAAGAATATCCAGCCAGATACTCCTCTTGATGTGAACCAAGAGAACATCCCTAGCTTTGGCAATCACAAGTATCTTCCCAACGCAGAGTGAGCACTCCATTTCTGGATCCCTGGGCTCATCACAAAGACACCCCCGTCACTGTATCGTGGTTCTCTGTGTCTGCTATCTGATTTCCATTTTTTCCCCCATCAGTGTTAACAGTTCATTCTTGGATTCCTCCTTACTTCTACCTCACCCTCTTGTAGACAGTATGTAGTGACTATCCATGATCCCAACAGACAAGAACTAGATAGGCATGAAGTTTCTGTACTATTCACATTAACAATACAAGGTCCCTTCTACTCCTCAAGAATAAAAGATTTTGGCATATGAAAGGAAAAAAAAAAAAAGCAACCTTGCTTGCTGAAAGTGAAGAGGACTTAAAACATTTACTGATGAAGATCAAAGAGCACAGCTTTCGGTATGAATTACATCTCAATGTAAAGAAAACAAAAATCCTCACCACTGGACCAATACACAACATTCTTATCAATGGAGAAAAGATTGAAGTTGTCAAGGACTTCATTCTTCTTGGATCAACTATCAACACTCATGGAAGCAGCAGTCAAGAAATCA